GGTAAGGTAATCGGCTATTGTCCATACGGCAAACGTGTCCAAACCATCTAAGTCGTTGTCTTCTTAGGTAAAGTTCGATTGTTTGGGGATGCAGTGGTCTGGCATCCTTGCAACATGGTCTGCCCAGCGTGTCTGGGCTTTCATCAGTAGGGTGTGGACTAATGGCAGGCCTGTTCTGGAGAGGACTTCTATGTCTGACATCTTGTCCTGCCTCCGGATCCTCAGAATCCTATGGAGGCAGGTCATGTGGAAGTGGTTCAATTGTCTAATGTGCCTCCTGTATACAGTCCAAGTTTCATTGGCATACATCAGGGTAGTTAGCACTAATGCTCAGTACACTTTGAGCTTTGTACCAAATGTATGTACACTTTGAATGTACGCTAATTTTCATACATTAAAATGAAATTTCGTTGCATACAGCTCTCAAAGTGTCACCACCTCCAATATACACTACATAAACATGATGAAATAAATACATAAATAAATGCATAAAGGACACCAGATTTTACCTTGCTCCATTTCCACTTAAACCAAGAATCTGAGAAGCAATAATAGCCACTCTAAACAGCAAATGATGATCTGGCCAATGATACCCTAGCTTTCTACTAGCCAAGTAATATGCTGGTATGATTGCAGTTGCACTAGCCTGCTTTACAATTCCCTGCAAATATTACCTTAAAAGGACAGTTCATTCTACTGTTTATATAAATAATCTCTTCATGAAATTATTTAATAGCAGATGTTGCAAAGGATTGCCCTGGCAATTTCACACTTTCCCTTTTTCTTGGCAATGTAATCCATGTAAAGTTGTCCCCCACCCACCATCACTTTCCCATACAGTAGTATATATTGTTAAACTAAGATTTCTATGTACGCTGTAGTTGGGCTGCAAAATCACATTGTCCACTTGATGGCAGCCACAACATAACATTCTGCCATGTGTCTCTGGCCATCTAGTGGTCAGATGGATTTTTGCAGGGTAGACATGGAAGCAGGTCTATAAATCTCTTTTAGAAGGAGTTAAGTACTCTCTTTCTTTATTGGAGTATTTTTGCTCTCTGGGGTGAACAGAATTGGTCAAAAGAAACACTACAGGAGAGCCATGTTAGTCTATGGCAGGGGTGTCAAACTCAATTTTATTGTGGGACGCATCAGGGTTGTGTTTGACCTCAGGGGGCAGGAGTGGGAGTGGCCAGGATGGGCATGGCCAGCTTGACATCATTCGTTTTGGGGGTGCCTGTGCTGGCGAACTCCGTTTTTGGCTGCAACAGCCTCCTGCAATCCTCTGCCAGTGAAAATGGAGCTCAGGAGGGCTGTCCATAGCTCTCCCGAGCTCCATTTTCGCTAGCAGAGGCACTACGGCAGGGGTGGCTTGCTAATCCCGTTCCAACCGGTTCGGTTGGAATGAGGCCGGCGGCGTCCTCGTGCACGCGCGCAGTTCATGCATGCATCTTAGCGCCTGCGCGATGCTCCAGCTGCTCGCGGAGAATCGCGCAGGCGCTGTATGTGCCATGCGCCTGCATGGAAGCGCAGAAGCCTTCAAAGACCGGTAAGGAGCGCGGGCGNTGTGGGGGCGATATGCTGACTCTGTAAACCGCTTAGAGAGGGCTGAAAGCCCTATGAAGCGGTATATAAGTCTAATTGCTATTGCTATTGCTATAGCTCTCAGAATGCTTTGCAATGGCTAAAAGTCAGGCATCTTGTCCAGATAAGAGAAGCACTGATCTGATTAGAAAAGAATATATACTTTGTCTTGGATATCACTCCTGGACCATTTTGTATGAAAATGTATGTCTTAAGAAATGTGGTACCTTAAATTCAGAACTGGCCTGCTATCTGAATGATCTTAAATATCAAAGAATAACTTTGTGTCCAAACATTAGACTCAGTTCACCATCATACTTTACAAGTTTACATCCTGGAATTAAACAACTGGTTCTGGATTAGTGCGAAACGCAAAAGGATTCTCTCCATCTATTTTGTTTTAATTCTTACCTTCTGCAATTCAAGTCGATTTTCTTCTTGGATCCGCTTGTTACGATCTTTCAGTTCTTTTTCCTCCAAGTGTCCAATTCCCTTTTTTTCCAAAGCCTAAAAAATAAATATAACCCACCAAACCCTAAATAAAGCCAAATACAAATTTCCTAGAAACATGTTCACTTAAGTTGCAACCGCCCACGGCATTTTAAAAGGGGATAGTGGAGGTGGGGTTTTGGTCAGTCTTGCCTCCTAGCATCAAGGAGTTCCTGTAGGTTTTTTTGGGGGGGGACAACACGATATTTTCTTCTTCCCAGAGTTGTAAGGGAGCAAGACTGGCCCAAAGGCTCCCCCCTGGCTTTGTGGCTAAGGTAAAACTCAGTCTCTTGATTTCTAGCCAAGCCTTTAACCTCTACACTAAGGGTGTCAAACTGGCGGCCTGCGGATCAGATGTGTCATGCACAGGCCATGCCCACCCCGGCTCCGCAAAGGCAAAAATGTCACGATACATCATGTGACATGATCGAGTGTTGACACTCGTGCGCTACACCAAATTGGCTTTCTCATATACCTATAGCTCAGTTAAATAAAGGTTTACCTATGGAGCGCTGATCATGTTATCTAGTTTGGGCAATGAAACATCTGCAAGAAAACAACCAAGCTCAGGGAGCACCAAGAACCCTTGGTTTATGCATTATATACATCGTTTCTGGGTGCCTTCAGTTCAGTGTTGACTCCTATGATTAGTCTCTGCAGTTTTCTAGGTAAGATTTTGAAAGAGAGTGACTGGCCCAAGGTCACCCAGTTGTCTTTGTGCATAAGATAGGACTAGAATTCTCCACCTCCTGCTTTCTAGTCTGGTGTTTTAACCACTACACCAAATACAATCTCTATGTACGTTTTAGTCAATAATAATAATCTTATAATATTGATTAACTTTGCACCTGGATAGAATGTTATTGAAGAAATGTAAGAAACATTTTAAATGATGTGGTCTACGTGGACTTATGGTAAACTATAGTGAATATTACTTTAAGGCAGTATTTACCCTCTAATTTTCATAGGGACCTAAATAAACATTTTGAGATTTACACATTCTTTGCACCAGATAACAGCAGTCTACCTGGGTAAAATAATTGACTTGAGATTTGCCCCAAACATATACTTCACATCTGTCCAACCCTTCCATGTTTCCAGCAACCAATTTCATCTATTTCTTCTGGAATACACCCATACCAGTGGTGGGTTTCAAAANAGTTTGTTTAGTGACCATTCAAAGTTACAACAGCACTGAAAAAAGTGACTTATAACAGTTTTCAAACTTAAGACCATTGAAGCACCCCCATGGTCACGTGATCAAAATTCAAATTCTTGGCGAATGGCTCATAATTATGACAGCTGCAGTGTGCCTGGGTCATGTGATCACCTTTTGCGACCTTCTGACAAGTCAATGGGGAAGCCAGATTCATTTAACAATGGTGTTATTAACTTAACTGCAGTAACTTAACAACTATGGCAAGAAATCATAAAATGTGGCAAAACTCACTTCACAAATGTCTCACGCAACATAAATTTTGGGCTCAATTATGGTCATAAGTCGAGAACTACCTGCACTCACCGTTTGTGCAAATATTTAGAGTGCATTGATATGGAAAAAATAAGACTAGGCCCCTCTGAAAACTACATTCAAAGAAATTACAGAACAATGGTAGTTGTACAGAACAGAATAACAGAATTGGAAGGGACCTTGGAGGCCTTCTACTCCATCCCACTACTCAAGGGGGAGACCCTATATAATTTTAGACAAATGGCTGTCTAATCTCTTCTTAAAAGCCTCCAGTGTTTGAGTACCCACAGCAGTATTCCAAGTGTGGTCTTACCAAGGCATTATAAAGCGGTAGTATCACTTCTCTCAATCTTGATTCTATCCCTCTGTTAATACTGGCTTGGATTGCATTGCCGATTTTGGCAGCTGCTGCACACTGCTGGATCATATTTTAGTAATTGTCCACTAGGATTCCAACATCCCTCTCGCAGTTACTGCTGTTGAGCCAAATTTCACCTAGTCTGTACCTGTACTTTGGTTTTTCTTGCCTAAGTTGCCAAATTAAAAGCCTTGAAGTGTGCAGAAAATGATGTTTACTGGAAATACAAATGTTACCTTTCTGAAACTGCAATTTGCCCAAGGTGAAAAATGCTGACCCGCCCCATAAAAATTTCTGATCAATATCTCTAGTTTAACTTCTGGCATTTTAGGAAAGGATAGGAAAATTTGAAGGGATAGGTGTTACCAATCCTTTAGGCTGAGTTTGACAAAACGGCAATTTTATTGTGTACAACTCAGCTTCTTCTGTTCAATCCAACAACATGCAATCAGAATTTCTCTGCTGTTGCTGAAAATTTTCCCTGATGGAAATTTTGATAGAGAAGAAGTATTTGCAGTTCCCTAGGTCCCCATCTGTTTCAGCCTTTCTCAATCAAGACTTCAGCTTAAGAGCCAAGGTGGCGCAGTGGTTAGGGTGCAGTACTGCAGGCCACTTCAGCTGACTGTTATCTGCAGTTCAGCGGTTCAAATCTCAC